ATCCCTGACCTAACGCTTTTCCTTATATTGTTTTCACCGTATTTGCTTATTTGCTTTCTAATCGTGACAACTTAAAACCACTTGATCGCTTAGCTGAAATTGTATCTCAAAAGATTAGAGTGTATTGCTGGTCCTTTTGAACGAACCTCACTATTCTACTTCGAGTTAGTGGTACCTAGGTTTAATCCTATAAAACCGACAAAAGGACTTACATCATTCGCCTTAACGTTACCAATTGTGTCTGAGCTTTCAACTTCTAGGGTAATGGTTTTACCAGTGAGAGTTTTCACAAAGATTTGCATTCCACCGCGTAAACGAAGGACAAGGTGAAGGCTTGACTCCTTGTGGATGTTGTAATCTGCTAGAGTACGGCCATCCTCGAGCTGTTTACCAGCAAATATCAACCTCTGCTGGTCCGGAGGGATTCCTTCTTTGTCTTGAATCTTTGCCATGACGTTGTCAATTGTGTCTGAGCTTTCGACCTCGAGAGTTATGGTCTTGCCCGTAAGAGTCTTAACAAAGATTTGCATACCTCCTCTCAACTTGAGAGTCAAGTGGAGGGTTGAGTCCTTCTGAATGTTGTAATCCGCCAAGGTACGGCCGTCCTCTAACAGTTTACCGGAAAAGATGAGTCTTTGCTGGTCGAGAAGAATGCCTTCTTTGTCCTGGATCTTTGCCTTGACATTATTGATGGTGTCGGAGCTTTCAACGTCAAGTGGTATGGTCTGTTCTGAAAGAGTCCTTGCATAGATTTGCATCATCATCTTGAAACAAAAGCACAACTTTGTTACCACACACACATTACAAAACTAGAGAACCACAATAACATCAGTTTATTGAACACACTCGGATTATAAATACACCCTAAACCATAACACAAAGCTCCCTGCCCAAAAACGAGAAACTCTAATCTCAACCAAGAATCACAAATTATAGGCAAGTCAAGTAGAAAATCGCACAGATCTGGACAACTCTTATGCAACGGCAACATAGAACTCAAGAGTTGCAAGAATGATTCCGATTCAAGAGTATATCTAAAATAATATAATTCTAACAACTTGAGGATGTAACAGAAATCTCTGAAAAACAGAGAACAACACAATCAAAGGATGAACAAAAGAAATCGGAGAAACATATACCT